GAAACATCCCAAATCCAGAATCGCCCGACGAGTCCGGATTTCGGACATTGTACTGAATATATATTAGTTTTTAATTTGTAGACCATTTTATAAATCCTTATAAAATGGTCTACAAATTTTTATTAAAGCAGTTCAGATCAAATAAAAATTAATAAAAAATATTTTGCTAAAAATCACTCAGAGGAGATGAATATGTACAATTCGATTGAGTTTTATTCAGAAATTATTCAACTACATTCAAAAAAAAGAAAAGAAAAACATTCTCACAATAGCATTTTCATAGCAATTATTTTCTTATAAAATTATTCACTGTCAATTATTCACAAAGTTCTAGAATTAAGTTAAGGTAATTTAATATCAGATAAATTTGAAACTGGAAGATTTGGTGATCTGTCTGGAGAATAGACTATATGATAAAAATCAGGGGGTGGCAGCCGCTCTTCAGTTATGTAGATGAAAAATGCTATAACAATATATCGTGTAATATACAAATGTGAAAAATGGAGACCTCCTGGCAGATAGTTACATAACATAATCTTATTTCAAACTCAAATTTACAACTAGCCATAAAGTAATAATTCAAACATATTGAATACATAGAGAAAACATACTTTCTTGACAACCACGAAACAAATGTATCAGCAGCTCCTCAGCCTGTGGACCATTTTGCTTTTTTCTCTGATAATAAAATGCTCGAGTAATTGCACTGTTAAATAAAAAGAAAATAGGAAAAGAAATTTATAATCTATAGCTATTATATTAAATTTGTATGCATAAAAACTTGATAAAACCTTTAAATAACTAGAATATTATTTGAACTAAAAATGCTTGTAGAGGATAATTAATATTCCTCTTCCTGGTTTTAGTCCTAAGCTAGCTTTTATAACTATACTAAACTCCATGGTGCAACAGCCCTTAAAGCGCCATGGCGTGCAATGCCCTGATATCTGCTTTCTTGACCGTGGGCCACAGGGTACATGAACATATGGCTTGGACAAGTGGTCAGCTTGTGAAAGGACCCTATTTTAAAAACACCTGTCATTTTACTGCATATACAGATTTTTAATAACACAAAAGTCTGATAAAATAATCAGTATAAAATGCAAACTTTGGGGAAAAAGTGGTACCAAACATTTTTCACACTGAATCAAGCCCTTAAAATTCTTATATAAACAATATGCAACTCCATATACAGAAAAGCAAACTTGTTTCCCCTTTTTTTCACTGGTCAGTGGCAATACACTACTTTAGAACACTTCCTATGCCAGAAAGCTGATTATGTTAAACCCTTAAGCTTCATTCAGATGAGGGCGTAAAGGGTACAAGTGGTTAAAGTCGAGCTCCGTTGCCAAGGCAACCAATCCGTGCTACGTCACAAAATCTGGTTTAGGGCTCGTGGCATAGGATTCAAAGTTTTCAACTTTACGACCCGAGTTTGGGCATATGGCTTTGATTTCTAATGAAAAGTTCCAGTGCCAAACATATTATTTAATTTACATGTTATTTAAATTCAATTTGGCGTGCAGTGCGTATACCTTCTACTTATTGTTAAGCATTTTAACGGATTAGGAAGAATGTTCGTATAAAATTTTTACGTTAAAAAGAAGAATACTTGCAGTAAATATTGCTGCAAAACGATATGATATGAAACAGCTTAATGAATAGATAGATCTTTTCAATATAGACTCTTTGTAAAATTTAAACGAAATAAGATCTCATAATTTCTTTTTTGATCTCATAGTTTCTTTTTTAGTTATTCATAAAGTTCAAAAGATTTATATGCGTATTTTCAGTTTATAATCTTCATATGACCCATTTGGAATGTCTACTTCGGAAGGACCATGCCTGTAGCTGATCTGTAGAAACAGTCAGCTATTTAAATATAAAGTAATTTCTGTATAAAGTACAAAAGAAATCCTGCATCCAGACTTTCAGTATGCGAACTGTGTAAGAAATTCTATTGAAACTAATAGCCTGCTTGGCAAAAAGGGTTATAGCCGACCAAACAAAGAAATAAAGGATATTCAATAAGCGTGTTAAGAGTTTTTAACACAAAGTCCAGACAAGTCTTCATACGGCTGCTAGGTGGCTGAGATTACTACCTACAAGGAATATTGAACATCTCAATTAAATCCTTCTGTATCCTCTTAAATCCTTTTATATTTGCGCTAGGACAACTAGTACTCCATTTATATACCACATTATGCCGCCCAGACGAGAAAGTGGTTAGTAACTCTGACTACCACACCGAAGGGCCAAGGCTCGAATAACGGAGAAGGTATGGATGTAATTTGTCCGTTTCTTCATAGCAGGCAACGGTGACCCATCTGTTAGGTGCCTCCATAATAAAGAGACCACCGCTTCCAGCCTTAATGGTGGCCAACGCCTCCCAACTAGCACGGCAACGTCGTTGGTCCGAGAGGTTGCAAAGTGGTCGTGGTAACTTTTACATCTTTACAACGTTGCGAAGACGCAAAATATTTGCCGTTGCATCTTGGTAATTTGTCGAAGTCGTTGAAACGTCATGATATGACCGCTTTTAGACGTGGTCCTTTTAGCATTCTTTTTCATAGTTCATCAGCATTACTTTTAGAATTGAAAAGAGACTAAATCTTCCCTTTCAAGAATCTGGAAGTCCGCATAAGACTTTACTTTGCAATGTTTTCATTACTTTATTTCATCTAAAGTATATTAATCTAAATAGATTCATCTAATGAAATATAAATTTAATCTAAATACTTGAATTATTAAATTTAATTAGTACTAAAATACGTGCTAAATTATTGTTAATTTTTTTAAATAATTAATACTTTAAATTTTTTTTTATAAATATTATAGCAAAATATTTAAAAATGAAACTAATCTATAAAGTAAGTTATTAAGCTACGCATTTTATATATTTTAAAAAATCATATTTCCGAAATCAATGCAAATCACATGTTAAGAATTATTTTACTGCTGAAATATGACTTTATATTATTTTTGAAGTAAGGACGAATTTATTTGAATTGGTATGTTGACATATAATATGAAACATTTTTACCGCATACAGAGCAAAAAGTAGAATTTTCGAGAAGATATGACTGTGCGTGAAGATGTATTCACGATTATAAATGCGGCAATTTTAAGAATTCCGAGAAAACGTCCAATGTTAAAAGACGCTGCTTATCCATGCATATTTAAAGGCTGTCCAAAATATCTGACGGAAAGTTAATGGGAAAGGAGAAAGAAATATTAACACTTTTAATAGAAAACGACAAAATTAATGGCTTTGATAAATTACTAATAAATTTTGACATCAAAATTAGAGAAACTGTGAACAAAAATACGAAATTCATTACCTATAAAAGTTCTGATGAGCTGTTTGTTATGTTTTTGTCCATTTCCATGCAATTAAAAATGCTTGGTTTAATCCTAGTATACGGTACACTCGGGATTTGGCGATATTGACATTATAAATGTTTTAGCGAGCCAGATAAATATTTTTTGTAAATATAATCTTGTGAATATTATTCGTAATTCTATTCAGTTGAAATAATTCTTCTATGTCATTTAAAATAGATTCTATTAAATTATCAGAAGAACCGTCGAAAGGTTTAATGCCATCGTATAAACCGCTGAAAAGTTAAGACTGAACTGCATGTGCATATTATTTACTGGCTGATTATACTACATCTGAGCTTCGAGGCTTGCGCGCTTTGGCTAGCTGTCAAATTTGAACAAAGTCAGTTAACGGCGGAATAATTTTCAAACTCCATTTTATTTTCAGAAATATTTTCTTCAATGGTTTTGTAATTCACCGTCGGAATTAAATACTGGAGAGCTTCAATACAGCAACAGAGACGTGATGAAAAAGAATATAATGATGGCAGTTTATTTTGAATTGAGGAGAAATCAATGGTGGCAATTGCCGAATTTCTGCTTATTTTGTTTGTGAATATCCGCTCTACAATGCTATGTGCTAAAATCGTCCCACAGTGAAATAGTGTTTTGTTCTGGTGTTTTATGTTTCTTGTAATTAAACTTACATGGTGGTGTTCTCCAATCTTCAGTGATCCAGCGGTGCAATATTTGCATACACGGATTCGGTTATAACGTTATAAGTGCTATATCGTATATCATTCATATTAAACGAACAAGTTGGTTCTCAGACTTTCCTCATATGATCCAAAAAGTAGTGTTAAGGAAACATTAGAATTACTATGAAATATTGTAATCTAGAATTATGCGATGTTTAAGTGTATAATATTAAAAAACACTAAATATTTTTTTATTGATTGCAAATTGCAGTTTTATTGCTTGTCGTTTGGTAGCTTTCTTCCAAATATTGTGTAATTCGCGTTTTTTTTTTTTTTTTTTTTTTTTTTTTTTAATAATATTGCTGTTATGTATGTCTATTACATTATCTCAGTAAATTAATGTTGGAAATTAGGTTTTATTCTTTATTAAATTTTAGTATATTGTATTTTCTTCGCTTACATTTTATGTGCATATGATAACAAAGAAATTCATAATAAAACAAAAAGTTTCAGCGTGTGCTATTTAACGAAGTGCTTAGCTTACTATCGTATACTATATTATTTAAATTATTTCTGTAGAGTATCAAAAGAAAAGTTATTGATTATAAAAAGTGCATGAATTGATCATTGTAATACCATTATTCTAAAATGTAGAAACTAATAGTAAGTAAATACATTTACATATGATCAAAAGAAATGGTGTTAAGAAACATCAAAATTACTAGTAAATAGTGCAATCCATAAATATTGCACATTTAATTGCTTACTATTTAAAAAACACAAATATTTTTTTATTAATTGGAAATTTTACTAAATTCTGTTACCTTCCTTCTGATATTTATACTTTCAAACAATACTAGTTCATGCTATTTCTTAAATAGTGCTGTCATGTATGTTGTTTTGTTAGGTTATTATTTCATTTTAGGTAGGAATATGGGAAGTTATTAGATTTAGGTATATTTTTGATCACGTTTATTAACTACTTTATACTGTCTTTCATTTACATATCTTGGAGATATAGAAGTTAATGGTTATGTTTTTTACTGTGATACGCGAATAAATTTATACTTGACTTCAGGTAAAATGCTGATTATGTTACCTTAAGAACCGCTTCCTAATTTATCATGACAGGGGCAATTTTCAATGCCTGTGAGATTTAGCAGAAATAAATGTGGTAATGCTGTTATCAGAAGAAACGCTCTTTTTTACCCACATATGTACTTTACTTTTATTTATGTCTAATTGAGTTTTATTTACTTAAAATCTACTATTAATGTTATATGTTTATAATAACCACTTTCATAATTACTCCCACTTAAGGGAAAAAATGATGAAATCTTATATAATCGTAACTTAGAATTTAAGTTACTTAAAAAATATAGCTTAAAGTACTGAAAATAATTAAGGCTATTATTAATTATGCATATTTAGTCTAAAGAGAAAAAATTGTATTATCTTCTGGTTTTCAGGAAATGATAAAATATTTAAACTTTAGATAAATACAAGGAATACAAAATTTTAAAAAAGAAGAAAAGTATATTAAGTTTATTTTCTGCATAAATCAATATGTAACACAAGGACATAATAAAGACATTTTCAAAACTGTTGCAAAAAGGTGAAGTTTGGCGAACATTTAGGCGTCTTTAAGACGTCGTGATACGATGCTTCGCGACACAACCAAAATATTACCTGCGAAAGACGCAATAACGACGTCTATGCGACAAAAACCTCATCTGCAAAGACGTAATAAAGACGTCTATTCGACAAACCTCATCTTCAAAGAAGTAATAAAGACGTCTTTGCAACGGTTGCAAAACAGTGGATGTTCGCGGACATCTGGGCGTATTAAAGACGACATTTTGCAACGACATCCGCGACGAGTTTGCAAAGTCGTTACGACGTCGTTGCTGTGCTACTTGGGATATAAACGACTAGAGCCCACCATGGGGGGGGGGGAGTGGAATGAACCACATTACTAGTCTCCATTAACTTTTCGTGTAATAGTTGCTTGATGATCTGGTTAGTGAAGTTCTTCTGTATTTTGAATGGAAATTCCTTTGAACTTTGTATTTAACTTGCGTCCAGGGCCTCACAAGCTGCAGACAGTATGCAGATTGTATCTGAAAGTAAGCTAAAAATTTCATGGCAAATAAAATTTTATAAATTACTTTTTCATTAACAAAAAGCAGAATGTTGATATCCTGTTCCGTTTATATTGTATCAATAAACAGAAAGTTGATATCCTGTTACGTTTATATCGTATCTATTTCGCTATATCGTATATCGTATAGAGGATCAACACTGTAAAGATAATTTTAGAAAAACCATGCATATGAGCTTTCATGTGGTTTTTAAAAGATGGGAAGAAATAAAAAGAATACCAAACTTAGTCTCTTAAATTCTACTAATATATAGCTCTACATAACAGCTTAAAAGTATCTTTCACCAAGGAAGCTTAACATTAGTTACGTCACCTGTGAAACTTCCAAATTGCTGTATAAGTTCCATTTGCTTTTCACTTTAACTGAGAACATAAAAATTAAATCTCCTAAGACACTAACATCATATTACTATTCTGCTCATTGCTAATGTAATTATTATTTACCTGGACATGTCGGGCAACAACTTCCGGGTTCTGGTGGCAATGGATTTTCTATTTCTACAAGAAGCAAAGCATTGCACCTTAGTTTCTGTTACCACTCCACCCTATTAAAATAAAAAATTTGATTTTGCTAATGAATGCATGAAAAGAATTTACATTTATTATTTAAGGCTAAGAATTGAAAACCTCATTTTTGCAGCATTACGTCGACTTTTGCAGCATTACGACGAAGTTTTTTAATTAAATTAAGGTGATATACAAAATATACTTTATTTGTATGATGATCCTAAGAAGTTAAGCTATGTAACATGTAATCCTTTTGGACAGTAGAGAAATTATTTCTAATATAGATTGAGCTTTTAAGGAAAGAATATTAATTTTTAAATCATAAATACTCACCAAGAATTCCAGAAAATTTTATTTGAAAATCAATACAAGAGTAGATTATGGAACATTGTATTATGCATATTTGAATATATATAAAAATATACCATAGAATAAGTAGAACTTTCTATAAATAATGAAGGAATGCCTATATAAAATTTGGCTCTTATAAGTTTCGAAAATTTTAGAGAGAAATTAAGACAGAATAATTAAAAGCCGAATGCATGTACTACTAAACTAAGAAGCCGGTCGGCTGGTATAATGGTTAATGACGCTAACTGCCGTATCGATGGGTTCGGGTTGAAATCCCGGAAAAGGTGCGGATGTTTGTAAGCGTATAGTACCTGTGGGGCAAGGGGGTCTGAAAATACATACGAGCCGAAAGTCCCATAGAGAACGTGGTGGTAGGGAAAAAGGAGTGGAAGACCCTCGGACCGCCTTCCTGCATGGTATTCTCTCTCAAAATCGGGGCAAAACTTAAACAAGAAGCTTAACAATCAGCTAGGTTTAGCAATACCTGAATTACCTGTACTACAGACGTACTGATCTAGCTTCTACTTCTACTGTAGAACACTTTCTGTTCTAATTACTAAATAAGAAGAATCCATATCTTATACCTCTCGTACGCAACTTGAAAAGGAATTACAGAATTCATGTTGTCAGAGCTGAAAAGAAATGAAGGTAAAAGCTGATACTGTATTAGTCAATTAGTTCAACGATGCTTCAAGTAAATGTTAGTAACAGGAAGAATAATGGACGGAAGTAATATTAAGTGGTTAAGCGAGTAATCGATTTAAAAATCGTTCCATTTTTTTAACTATCGTGCAGTTTCTGACAATGATAGATTTTTTTTTAAATAGTAAAAGGATTTAATCATTCATTGTTGCTAAGATTTTAAGTGATGATAAAATCGGATTTCTAATTTAACAAAAGTATAAAATGACCTGAATGTAATTTCGCATCAGAACAGGAAGAAAAAATTTTCTAGTTTCAAAAATAATGTTTTTGTTTGTTTATTATTTTTATTATTTCTGTTTTACTCTTTATTATTTTTCTTTTATATTTTTTTAAACTATCATAATATACCTGATGATGATGAACATAAGTGGTTAAGCGAGTCACAAAAGTGACTAAAAGTAACATCGTGGAATCTGCCCTGTACGACTTGTATGAGGGAGAAAGTCAAGACAACATAAGTGATAGTATATATACAAGAGATATAAGAATGATTATGTTCAGTTTCTTAAATTTCTTTAAGGTTTGATTTGGTTATTTTAATACGCCAAAGCTATATGCTTGACAAGAGGGATACCTTTGTGGAAGATTTTGTGAGGGAAACTAGCTCGTTTTCACATTACGCATGAGAAAAATCACGAAAACCAAACTTGTAGCTATCCTGTTTGCCTGGGATCGAATCTAAACTAGGCTGAACTTTTAGCATTCAATGATCTTAACTACTCCGCCACTGGCTGGATCAATTTCTCTTTGAAAATTTCCTTTTAAAATCCATCACTGTTAGTAGACCCACGAGTTTAATTTTAATCACATATGATCAGGAATATTATGATAGTTAATTTTTTAGTTATCATAATATTCCTGCTGCATGAAGTGTTTTTCATTAAAACTATGTAGTTTAATATATATGTGTGTGTGTGTGTGTGTGTGTGTGTGTGTGTGTAACATTAAAAGCACAAGGAAAAGCCGGAGCTGTGTCGATGCGTGCTTAGATCCATACTGAAGAAGAATTTTGATAAAACTTGGCAGTCGATGCAGTTTTAATTTCATTTTTATTTCCAATGGATATTTGTGGCCACAATCACTTGGCACTCTAGTCGTCCCTTTCCACAGAAGATTTACATTTTTGATATTGTTGAGATAGAAAGCAAGCCAGCGAACTTACATGTCAGCACAGTAAAGAGCAAAGCTGAAGCGCGTAGTTATGAAAAATGGAAGCACGTGAAGAGAAAAGTTTTGGTTTGCAATTTGGTGATTGGTAAAGAGGCATCTGCATTAAGGGTTATGTAAGATCGCATGATTAATTTGAATGACGCAGTTTAGACTTAAGCGCTATTTTTAGGACAGATAGATGAAGTTTCCAAATGGAATAGAAAATAAAAGAGGTTATAGTGAATTAAATTTAGAAGTTTGCTTTCATATTTTTTATCTTACACACACACACACACACATATATATATATATATATATATATATATTATATATTTCACATTTTATGGAAGAATATATATATATATTCTTCCATAAAATGTGAAATGTGGTTTTGTTCCAAAAACGTTTTATATTCAAAAAATCTAATATTTTTTTTATCGACATATCGTTTTTATCGACCAGTATGTATTGGTATTAAATGAACTGAGCTAATTTTTACAAAAGAGAGACATAACATAGTTTTGTTTGGAGAACAAATTAGCAGCTTTTAGATGTTGCTTATGAAATGCGTTTTCATTAAAATAAATTATTCTTTCACTTACGCACTAGTCTTATCAATGACCTCGACTAAAACAGTTATTCGCATGTCAACTGTGATAGGCAATAGTGGATGTTCCGCTGACCTTCAAGTTTGACGTCTTTGTAGGTACCGAGATAAACGAATAGGAAAAATTGATGCTTTAAAGTAGCATTTTTCAATTAGGTTCCGGAAGAAATCGCTAGGAGTTCTAAAAGAAATAGTGATGAATAGACTTACCATCATATGTAATATACTTTTAAGTCTGTTTAAATCACGAATTTCTATTTAAAGATTCCTCTGCAGATGAAAAGTACAGAGGTTTCTACAAGAATTTTAAAATCTTGAGGACGCTGCTTTAAAATATATTTCCTGACGCTAATGAATGCAGCTGCATGCAGTTACGTTTCTTGCGCACATATATTTAGAAATACAATTAATCTGTTACTAAAATTTTACTGCATTTAAGATTTAAAATGAAACTTAAGGTTTCAAAATAAAATATAACTGCTACGAGAGAAATTGAGCATCCAGATGTTTTTATTGACTTAGGATAAATTCAATTAAATTACTGGAGTAAAGGTTAATTAACGTGACACCTAAATGGGCGTGATCCTTGTTTGCAATTACAGAAAGTTTCATTCTGTAATTGCAAATGAGATTTAAGTAGAATTATAATTCTGTCGTCTAACTGCAAATTGCAGAATTTTGGGCTTGTAAATTTGGAAAATCTAAATTGATGTTAAAAGAAATTTTAAGGTTTCCCCTCCCTTTCTTTGTTTCTAATTTGCGGGAGTACTTAGGTTTCGTTTATCATCTAATTGCAATAGCAATATTGCAGTTGATTGAAAATGTAACTGACTATGATGTTAAATCGATACTCGTCAAAAATTTTAAATAAATTAATCACATTGCAAGAATATTTCGTGGATGAATTGAAATGGATTAACTATATTATATGCCAAAGCATGTAATTGTTATCTGTAATACAACTATTATCTTAGAGAACTTTCTAAAAAATTAATTATATTTTTGTTATGGCAATAAAAAATACTATAAAAAAAGCGGCGAAAAGGTACGTTTACGATTACAGAAATATATACGTACCAGCAGACTTTAGTACATTAAATATATAAATCTAGTCACTTGCTTAAACAGTAAATAATTATGGAATATTCATTAGTTGTTAGCTTTTCGTGGCTCATATTTATGAAAAAAGAAGAAAGAACATAATGCAGAATAATCAGATATTTCTTGCCTACACTTTTTCATACGAAAGTATTCGAGAGGATGTCAAGTTAAGGATAAATGAACTATTAGATCTTAGAGTTAAAACTGCTGGTTATTGTAGAAGGAATTTATTTCTGTTATTATAATCTATTTATAAATATTTCTGTGAATTTATTCTAGTTTTATTTCTAAGACATGTAGTTTAGGCATGTCTAATTACATGTAGTTTAAGCGTGTTTTTATGTGTCAAATATCATTATGTACTCCTTGCGGCGCTTTCATTTTTGTGAAATGCATTCAAGTTCTAAAATAAGACAAATTCAAATACAGATTGACGCTTAGTTTTAAGAAAACTTCTCTGGATTTCAAAAACAGTTATGGCTCCTCTTTTTATGGAGCAAAACTATTTTGACACAGTAAAATAATGCATACGCTTTTAACAAATAGTATAAGTAGTTACATGTAAGTTATTCAAATTATCTGACTATCAAAATTTAGTGAGAATATTTTTGTTACCTGAAGACGAGGGAATCTTAATAATCTCCCTTTAAATGCAAATAATTTGTCTATGAAACCATCAGTCAATCTATGACTGTATTACCGAATTTTTTAGTTTTAAACTAAGAAATATTCAGTCTTTCACTCTCTCTATACGTTGACGAACGATGCAGTTACAATGCTTTTGCGCAGCTAATTTTTTTTACAAATATATTGGACTGATGCAAAAGTTCATCTCGTTTTTGGAGATTCAAATGACAAGTGGTTCTGGCGTCGTACATGACACTACGATGACTAGAACTTTCAACCAGTAAAACGTGTAGGGAGGCAGAATTTAAAGCCAATTTGCTTGTAAGAGACAACATTTAAAGCAATATGTTTGTAGTCAGATAACATGTACAGGCAATATGCTTGCAATCAGACGACATTTAAGATAATTTGCTTATAAATCATTCGTAAATAATTTCAAACTGTTTTAAATGGCAAAAGATAAAAAGCATATCAAACACAGCTTTTTGTTGCACGAAT